GTATTTTAAAATATTTATTTAATGTGTGTGTGTATGTGTGTGTGTGTGTGTGTGTGTGTGTGATTGTCAGCATGCATGTGCCATGGCATGAATATGCCATGGCATACATGTGGAGAAAAGAGATAAGCTTTTGGGAGCTAGTTCCCTCCTTCTACTTTGTTGAGGCAGGGCCTCTCCTAATGTTTCTGCAGTTGTGTTACATATTCTGGGGTAGCTGGCCCATAAAAGACACCCCACTACTACCACCCATGCCGATTCTTTTGTTCCACCTACCATGGGAATGCTGGGATTATATATATATATATATGTGCCATGGTATCAGGCTTTTTATGTGGATTCTGGGGATCCAACTCTGGTTGTTAGGTGTCAGGCTTGTATGGAAAGTGCTTTTACCAGCTGAGTCATCTTGCTGCTCCCCCCCATTATGCTTTTAATATTCTTTTGAGGTTTCAAACTATTAAAAATGAAACTGAAAACTGTCTAGAGAAATATTGATGTTAAGTTTACATTCTTTTGAAAAAACAACTTGTTCCATCAATGGGATATATACTATTTATACTTTCAGAAGTCATGGGCAATCAAGAGAGTGTCTCTATTCTAATATGTTTCAGAATATAATTTAAAACATCTTATTGTACCACTTCTTTTCATTTGTCTTACAGATAAACCAAGAAAACTTTCAGCAGCTTGCTGAGGCAGCTTTGGGACTCACTCACTGGCACACAATCTTCTGTGGATCAGTCTGGTGTCAGCATGATAGTTGGTTATTGTGAAGCCCTGTTAAAAAATGCAGACAACAATTCTAGTGACAAACAATAGTAACTTAAATTTCCATCAATATAGAAAGCAGAAGGCAGATGAGGCATGTTTTGTACATAGAAGTAAGATGATTTTTGCCTTCTGGAGGACGCTTGACAATATCTAGGGGCGGGGTGCTCCTGGTGAAAGATCAGGGGTGCTGCTAAACATCTTTCAGTGCACAGGAAAAATCTTCGCAGCAAGGAATTATCTTTCCAGAAACAGCAAAAATGGTGAATTTCAGAAATCTTGGTATAGTAGCAGTCATCAGTCAGAAGGAATAACTGTTCAAAGAGACAATGGGGGAATTAATCCAAGAGCCAAGGACTCATGCCAAGAAAGGCCAGAAGAAAGGATTGAGAAAAGGTAGGGATAGAAGCAGAGCAGAATGCAGAGAGTGGTGGCTTGGAGCAGGTAAGAAAAGAATTTCAACATGAGAATGGTCGTCAGCTTCCAATGTGCCCCAAAGCAGGAAAGATGGACTGCAGAGTCTCAAGTACTCAGCAGCTGGGCAGTAATGCAGGAGTCCCCTACATCTTTCTCTACCCTGAAAAATGTAAAGACTTTTCTCTTTTGATTTAAATAATTTAAGTGAGTAGTGTAATCGGTATGGATGGATTGCACCTTACTTCTTCATGAATTAGTGTCTATGTAAGCATCATTTTATGATTTTAAATCTGTGCAGCATATAAACTATTTTACTTCATGTATAATAGCATAATAGTAATAATAGCAGCTAACATTTGAGTAATGTTTGTGTGTCATGCACTCTTTTAAATAGGTTACTTGGTTTACTCACTTTTATCTCACAATCAGCAAGTGAAGCTGTGCTAATATAACTCTCATTTTACAGATAAAGAAATAAGGGCAGAGAGATTAATAAATGCACCCAGTTTCACAAAATGAGTGAGTGGATTCAGATGGAAGTCTGCTCCTGGGGCCCAGTATGTTAGAGACAGGTAGAAGTGCTCATTCTCTGTTGCTTATGGAGCTGTTTATTGTCTTTACCTTGTGTTTGCTGTCAGGGTCACTACATGAACATTGCAGATCATCAATTATATTTTCTGAACAAATGAATAAATTAACTTTTCAACTCATAAGGTAATTTTCCCATTCCTTACAAATTTTCCTATTATTTCTCAGGGTATTTGGTAACAAACATTCTTGGCTTTTCTTTCAAGTCTACTACAATTATTATTTGGGTAGTTATATGACATACTATGACATTTAAAAATATATTTATTATTTTTATTTTATGTGTATGCACATATTGCCTGCATGTTAGGTAAGTGCACCGATGTTGTGCAATGCCTGCAGGGGACAGAAGAGGCTGTCGGATCCCCTGGAACTGGAGTTACAGACAGTTGTTAGGTGCCATGTGGGTGCTGGGATTCAAACCTGGGTCTTTTGCAAGAACAGCCAGTGTTCTTAACCCCTGAGCCATCTCTTCAGCTCCGACATACTATAGCATTTTAAACCTTTTCATTCAAAACTCCATGTCTTTGCGGAGACAAAAACGATCTTTTCCTCTCCTCCTACAGAATTAAACAGCAGATTAAGTGTTTACATGAGGGCGTTTGTAAAACAGGATTTCTGCTGCAGCAAATTGCAAACACGCTAGTCAAATCCTGCCTTTTGTGAGTATTATGTGATCAAAGCCTCACTCTGGCATCCATTAGTCACCAAGTGCTTATTTTGAGAATGGTTGCTATTATCACTTACTCTCCAAGCAGGTGCCACCTAGTTACTTTTGTTTTGACAATTATGGGTTAAATACATTCCTGGGCTTAGTCCTGCTTAAGCTTGCTAAGCTGTCTATTCTAAACTAAATCACAAACAAGGTGGGTCATTTCTTATAGGAGCAAAGCTCTCTTTGAACAGGAATCTTTTCCTTTTTCTGTTCTTCACCATAGATGGGTGTTTTCTTTCACTGGTTAGCCTTTCTTTCCTACCTCTGACCTGCAAAGCTGCTTTGCATTGTAGTTAAGGATGACAAGAATGACTAATAATTGAAAATAATTTACATGTTATTATTTGTTTTATTTTATTTTATTTTTGAGACATGGTCACCCTGTAGCCAAAGCTGGCCTGGAACTCGCTATGTAGACCAGGCTTGCCTTAAACTCACAGAGATCTGCTTGCCTCTGCCTCCCAGAGTGCTAAGATAAAAGGTATGCACCACCACTACATCTTATTCTTAAACTACTATTCTTTTTTGAGATATTCACAATCCTTCCTCACTCTTGCCACTCTCCTATAAGCATTTGTTTCTGGTCCATGGAATTAATGTCAATCTGTAGCTATCCTATTAAGATTTTAAAACTTAAAAATATTTCATGTAAGGACTCCATTTTTTGGATATATTTTTTAACACTTTTTTTTTGTCTTTGTTTGTTTGTTTTATAACCCACACTGCCCTCAAACTTCCACCCCTCCTGCCTCAGCATCCCAAGTGCTGGATGTGGCATCACACCTGGCTTTTTTGGTGTAGTTCCTAAGTGAAGTAATTCTTTAGTAGAGAGCTCAATAAGATATTAAAACATTTGCTGGCAATTGCTTGGTAGAAAACACACTGAACCCTTTCAAAAACCTCTTTGTTTTATATGTGTTCAACCTACAAATCTCCTTCTTAGCATGCTTCCTCCATGTAGTACACCTGTTGCCAATCCACCTAAAATTAGACCGTAAGGTGTATAAAGTGCTTTTCCCTATTTATGATGAGGAAAAAAATATTCAAGATTTTAGATTCATGAACAAAAATACTCATTTGAAGACAAAACTATATTAGAGACTGGATTTTAAATTGTAGGTGAACATATTTTAAATGGTGGGAATGAAAAACCATTCCAAAGTCAAGTAGTACACAGAGAAATGCACACAGATAATGCAGAGAAGAGGGGTTGGTTGCTAAAGATACTGTGCCTGTGATAAGGACTGGGTGTACAGCACAGCTTGATCCGTTGGCCTGAGACACCTATGTGGACATTTTTTCCATAACAGCAGGAGAAGCAGTGTTTATTGGTACCATTGTAGCTCTGGGGATAGAAAGACAAGGTAGGGCTTATCTGATAACTTCTATTTTCTCGCAAGGAATGCAGAAGATGAAATGTTTAGAGTAGGGAGTGGAGGTGGGAAAATTGTAAGGAAAAAAGGAAAACTATAAACAGGTTATTTAAAATAAGAAAGAAGGGGGGAAGAAAAAAATAAGAGAGAAAAAATATTTGTCTGGTTAAACCCATGGGCTGCCAGGGAGAAATGTGCACATCTGCTTTAAACACACATCTCATAAAGAGTCCATTTCTGGATGTTTACCAGCTCCGTTTCTTCAGTTGTAAGCAATATTGCTTAGCTGTCACTCACCATTTTCTTTACACTGATTCAGATACCTTTTATCTTGGTCATTAGCTAATTTATGCATTTAAAGATACTTTTAAAGCTGTATTTTATCTTGCACTTCTATGAACTTCTATAGAAATAGTACTTTCTATGTGAAGATTTGTGGTTGTTAAGTAGATGATACATACAAAATACTGGCTGGTATCTGGCAAACAATATTGATCATTGGAATTATAACTACTAAATATTATTTCATCCAGAGAATAATAAGACCTTGCTTCCACCTTGTCTGGTTAACAAGGGTAACTTTCAGAAACAAATTTAATGTGGTACAATGTTTCTTTCCTATGCACTGATTTGACTGGAATGTAAGAGACTTTACTGAATAAAACCATTTTTTGTATTTTGAGCATTGTAAAGTTTTTAGGTCCTTGGTAATGTAATACTTAAGAAACAGACTTTATGCAGAATATTTGTTCTTCATAAAATTTTATTCTTATTGCACAAGACAAATTATAAGTACTGTTCAGTTTGGAAAGCACAAATAAAAATGATGAGGAAAAAAGTAAAAAGTAAAAAAAAGAGAACACATAAATTGGAAGAAATTTTTGAAAAATGATGTAGCATTATCTGCTTCCTCTTTGTTTACAGCAATTTGCTAAGGACTACAATGTTTTGTGGGAAAGTATATCTCAAGGTGAATTACTATTACTAAGGAACGCCACTGACATTATTTTAGCGTCAGTCTTTTTTCCTAAATTTGAATAGCTATGGTTATACTGAGCCTCTAAAGCAATATAGATTCTACCAAAAAATCAGTGTTCAATGTGTAAAGGATAAATATGAGATATTGACATAGTAAGTACTTATTCAATATCTTCATCTTCTATGTGGGTCTGCTCTAGGGCCTGTATCTCTCTTTCTGGTAGCAATCCATATTCATTTAGGAAGGACTCCACATCTCTGGCAAAAAATTCTTTAGCAAATTGTTCAGTAACACTAATAAAATTGCTTATGAGCTTCCCACCTTTGTACACAAGCAGGGTGGGGAGTACATCCGAGGAAAAGTGATCCCCAGCACCTGTATTAGAAGCTTTTATTTTACAAAACTTAACCATAGTGTATTCTGCTGCAAGACATGCTAAACTGCCATTCAGAGCATCACAGCCCTTAATGCCATCTTCATAAATGTGAACAATTGTGGTGATCTTCTGCTCCTTTTCGATTGTTTCCAGGAACTGCTCCCCAGTTTCCAGCTCATACACAAACCCATATCTAGGCCCAAAACTCAGCTTCTGATGCATATCCTGCATGCACTGTCTGCGGTATTTGCGAAGGCAATTTTCATCTTCTTTATCTTGATGAATTAGTTCATATTCTTGGATGCTCATCTGAAAACAGATTAAAGAAATGGGCTAATTCAATCAGAAATGTGCAATCCTTAGTCACACCAAGCCTATTCTCAAGTCTAGGACTTTGTGCTTGTGTCCTCTGTGTTGAGACCACATCTTCCTGGCTTCTAATATTGCCAACCCCTTCATTTAAGCAGTGGTTCCAATGTCAACTTTCTTGATTACTTGATTACTCAACTTAAAAGGACTCTTAATTCTTTATGCTGTTTCTGTTTCATATTAATAAGTACTGCTTGTACTATATATTTGATTAGTAAACACCAGCTTTCTTTTTAAAAATATTTTACTTACTTATTTAATTTATTTTATACAAGTGTATTGCCTGCATGTGTGTAAGTGTACCCCTATTGTGCAATCCCACAGAGGTCAGAAGATGGTATCAGATGCCCTGGAACAAACTGGAGTTACAGATGGTTGTTAGCCACCATGTGGTACTGGGAACCAAACCTGGGTCCTCTGGAAGAGCAGCAGTGCTGGTAATCTCTGAGCCATCGCTCGAGCCCCCACCCC